CGATGGGATGATAGACACTGACACGCTGAAGTTCTGGTGGTACTGCTACCTGTGGTACTGTTTGTCGATGATCGCCTCCAAAATCTCCATCGGCTACTTCCTCCTCCGAATCACGGTTCGCAAGGTCGACGTCTGGATCATTTACAGTGTCATGATGATGACAGTCTGCACCGGCGTCGTGTTCTTCTTCGTCACTCTCCTCCAATGTCAACCGATATCCTACTTCTGGAACAACACGACCCAGAGTGGCCGCTGCATCCCCGTGGATGTCATCATCGCTCTCACCTACCTCTACAGCGCCTTCAGCGTCATCTGCGACTTCACGTTTGCTATTTTGCCCATGGTTCTCATCTGGAAACTGAAAATGGACCACAAGACCAAGCTGGCTCTTGTTCCAATCATGGCCATGGCCTGCATGTTCGTGCTCTACATCCGTCTGCTTGCGGCCAAATGACTGACCACTGCCCTCTTTAGTGCCAGCGCTGCCGTCGTTGTGCGTATGCCATTTGTCAAGGACTTCAAGAATCCTGACTTCCTTTGTAAGTCGAGCTTTGCCCCATGTCTCATCGTGATTGATTTAAGGTTGGTGGTGGCTGACTCGCGCACTTCCAGATGCAACCGTCGATATTGCAATCTGGTCCACCACTGAACAGGGTCTGGCGATCACCGCAGGTAGCCTTGCAACGCTCCGCCCACTCTTCCGACTCGTAGGATACCGACTCGGCTTCACATCCATGGGACCCTCGCAACTCCACGATTCCGAACGCGGCGCCCCATCTGCCATGGGTGGCAACATCAAGAACGTCAGCAACAGTAGCTCAAGCCGGGGCCAACGACGCGGCCCTTTCAGTCTTACCACCTTCATGTCCAAGGATGAAAGCGAGAGTCACGAGATGGGCAGCGGCAGCGATCAAGAACGAAACCAGCAGCAGAAGATGTCTTCAAGTAAGCGCGCTCGCGGCTGGGAGTCGACAGGAAGGCGGGATAATGAGAGCGAGACTGAACTAACTTTCGAAGCCTCAAAGGAGTCGGTGGGGAGCGACCGCGACAACATAGTCGTTGTTCAAACCTTCTCTTTGCGGGAAGATCGATTGTAAATGTTGTACACATGCTTACTGTAAACGGTGATTCTAATAATCAACGCCTCACGAATGGGAATTGGGACATGGTATATATAAAAACTTAATTGACCAAGATGTATATGAAGACGTCCTTCAAACACGGTCGAATTGCCATCATGCAAATGTCAGATCCATCAGACCAATCTGATGTCTTGAGACCTACTTGATAGGAGATGCATCAGATGAACCACTCTCCAAAACTAAGGCACATGATTGGTATGCACTTGCGAGAGTAACTCAACAGCAAGCCATGATTTTGTGTTCTCCTGAACATACCTGGAAACTCATCGTCTAAATCTCGATAAGCCACTCCGTCGGGAGCGTTGAGAGCAAGAGGCGCAGGCACACGAACTACACCGGGGGCCGCAACATTAAGGCACAGGAAGAAGCGTTTTGACAGATCGACCTTCCGGTGACTTGAATTCTGCCAATAGAGCTACATATGGTCTCTGAGGTCTTTCCCCAAGATTGCCCGCGCCACAATGAGCGAACATTCTTGTGTCATTCATTCGCCCAAGCTCCAGACCAACCACGGCTTCGGCAGCCACGATTACGACAACCATAGAGCCTGTGTGATCATGCCAAGTAGAGACACATTTGGCTTTGCAAGGAAAACTTCGACGCAAGAAGACTCGCAGTTCTCTTTTCCCAGCAACGCGAGCCGTCACCCAATTTGTCGCAATGCGCATATTGTCATCCGACAGCAATACTGTACTTGGTGTTGCACGGTGAGGCTGGCGATGAGTATCACTGTTACTAAAGACTAGCCACTCTGGCTAAAGCGATACGCCAATTCTTGAAATTTTGGCAGAGTGTCGATCCGAAATAACAAGTTGATTTGGTTGCCACTGCAAAGCATCGCAGTCCACACCAACAGCATTGCTATGCAGTGCTGAAATGAGTGTAAAGCACACCAGCTGGAGAGTACGCTCAGGGCCGCCTAACAATGTCGCCTCGGAACCACGAAAAGCGCAAGCATAGTTGTTTTCCTCGTTGTGATTTGACTGGACACAAATTGCTCCGAGGACATTCGAGGGTGGGTGGTTCGTCCAAATGGTTCTCTAAATATACTTCCTCATCGCTCTGTTTCTTGAAGTGATTCGTCTTTGGGTCCCAGGACCGCAAGTACATCCTTATTCTGGTCGACGGGGACATAGCCTGCTACATCCGATCCCTTCAATGGCGAGAATCACTCTCAGGAGTTTTGAAACTTAGTCGCTAGTGCGCAGTGTTGGATTCAAGTCTCGTCCTTCATGGATGCGGCACTGTGTTGGGGCCTCGTTGGGCCAGCTTGCACTCCATTCTGTACTGGCCTCGGAAGACGGTTCAGAGAGTTCTGGTTGACCTGCGATAACGGTGTTATTGGCGTCAATGGTGTTGTCGAGGTTCTATCAGCATTTTCCATGCTCTGACCTCGCGCCAGAACAGCCAATGAGTTCTTAAGCGCATTTAATTGGGCCTGGAAATCGTTGCTTTCGGTTGCAGGCTGACGGCCGGGATGAGGCTGCTGCTGTGTTGATGTTGTCTGCTTTTGGCGTTGAAGCTCGGCCTCGATCCGATCCATTCTCTTGGCCTGTTCTTTCTTTGCTTTCGCCTGTTCGGTAACGTGGTTCGTGAGGCGGGTCTCCACCATTGCGATGCGATTGTGGAGAGTGCCTAGGTGTTGATCTAAGGAGGTTTTGCTAACATCAACGAGTGTTCTGCAGTTATTGATCAAGGTTGTGCTGATGGCGATAGCTTCCTCCATCTTCAAAATTCGAGGCATGTAATCAGCATTCGGTACTTGGTCGGCGATGGCTCTTTCTATCCTCTCAAGGCGGTCTTCAAAGCCCTCTGGAGGCGGCAGGGTTGAGTCAGGTCGCGTGCCCAACCGTTCTTCCAATGCGGTTAACCGTGTCTCCGTCTGGATGCTCTGCTGAGTATCTACCATTTTTCGACCTTCTGATCCTATTCGGACGGTTTTTTTGCTTATCTCGGAGGCTTGAGACGACTCTGTGTTGGAAAGAAGACCATGTTTGACTTCCTTCATCTCTTGGTTCAACGTCTTCAAATCGCCTTCAAAGCTTGTGATAAGACCATGCTGGTCTTGCTGCCGTTGTTCAATACTTTGGCTCGATTTGCGACATGTCATAATCTCCGCAACAAGGCTGTTTATCTGGCTACTGAGTACATCCAACCTTTGAAGGGCATCTTGGCACTTTGAAGCAGTGAGCAGGTTGAGCTGGTCATGTGCTTTTCGGATATCTCGTGAAAGCTCCTCAGATTCCATAACGAGGCTTGTTTGTTGTTTCAAGAGCTGCATGGTCTCGTCGTTTTGTCCAACTCTGGCCTCGAGCAGTCGGAGTAGCTCATCGTCATACTGCGACTGTTTCTGGTGTCCGATAGTGGCTGGGTCATCCAAGTGCGGGTCATATGTCTTGTGTTGTTCTTCAGCCAAATCCTGAGTTGCACCAAGCATCGAGCCTGCTGCCACATGGTGAGGAGGTGTTCGTCGATGGTCTTGGCCGCTCATTACTTGGCTAGAGGGCTCCTCGTGACAAGGGGTGAGCTGCCAATTCAGTCGCGGGGAGCATGACGGCGATTCCGGGAGGCATTGCCTTTTCAAGGAGTCGGGTGCATCAGGGCTAGGTTTCCTTTTCCGCCCTTGGCTTTGAATGAGGTCATCGATAGCGCTTTCTGAAGCATCCTGAGTAGACGACGGCCTGATGTTATCGTAGCCGAAAGAAGCTCTGCATTGCCTATCCGGTGTTGTCGTCGAGATGCTTGGGAGGCTCTTGCCAGAAGGTATCATCTGGAGGTGGGCGCTAGTGGAAGAGTCCCTACGTTGGCGCTGGCCCGATGGTACTGATATGCGCGAAGCCAGATCCTTGCCGATGCTGCGTATGCTTCCACCTCTTATTTGAAAGCTCGAAGGTGTGCCCTTCTTGATGGGAAACGCCCCATACGTGGGAGGATTATCTGGATCGATGATAGACATCCGGTCATGCTTCATCAGCTCTGACCATGACTCCTCAACGTACTTCCACTCTTCTTCAAGTTCCTGGGTTGTCGGCTGGGCCTCGACTGGCGGGTCAGGATCCCGGGAATTCCAGGCGTCGATGAGATTACTCAGGAAGTTATGGCGCTTCTTGTGGATCTTGGGGGTTTTCAGGTATACGCGACGACGATCCGAGTAGATTTCTGCGAGGTCCTCGACCATTCGAGAGCTGGCATTACACACACCCCAGTGATCGCGTATGAAGTCCCAAAAGCGGGTGCGATCGAAAGCCAGATGTTGACATCGTAACAGAAGCCGAAAAAGAATAACGAGGTTAATGTGTATGCGCTCTTGACGATCGGACAAGGTCTTCAACTCGACAAATCTGTCAAATCTCTTTGCATTGCCAGGATGAAGAAGAATCGCTTTAGACAGCACTGAATCCGGCCACGGGGGAAGCGGGAGCGAGACGGCTGTGATCCAGAATATGTCGTTGTAGTCCCCTTTCCACACCATGGTGTACTATGAATGGTTCAAGGTCCGCGAGGGTGTTGCCAGGCTAGACTCCGGTGTGGAACGCAGATGCTGGTATCGAGAAAGAGTGTGGGCATGAGAGAGCCGACGTCAAGATATCTGCGTGCGTGACACTGACGCGAAAGGGACGGGAAGCAAGGATGGGAGGGGCCACGACCGCGCAGAAACCGAGAACGCGGAACCTGGGAGATGCCGGCGCCGCCGCGCGTGGTGGTTTCAGGGGTCCACCCAGGGGGTTCAACGTTCTGTGGAGTCGACTCGGCGAGGATTTAGCTGTCAGTGTTCGCTGGAACGAACTAGGTACCTATTCGTGAGGTGCCTAATTGTTCTCTTATCACCGACGGGTATTACCTAAGCCAGACTTCCCGGGGCACACCAAACTCATTCATTCTCACATTTCGTCACACTCTCAGTCTCATTCACAGTCTCACTCTCACTCTCGCTTTTAGTTACACGCTCACTGCTGCTCTGGAACTAAGCAATTTCATACTCCATTCTCATCATTCATACCACCATTCCCACCGACATCATTAACATCATTTCCTCAACGCCAATTCAAGTCTGCAATCGCAATGCTCACCAGCACGACCTTAATTCGAGACGTTCAACCCATAACCAGCACACTCCGGAAGCGCACCTTGTTAGAAATCATGTGTTCCGAAGCCTTCTTCGCGTCATCCAGTGAGAATCTCTCAACCATGCACTTGATGCCGTGTGTTGCTGCAAAGTCAATGGCCTCCTCCGAGTCCATCTGATGTCCACTGGGCCATCCACAAACCGACTTGCCTCCAACGATAAGGTCAATCGTGTCGACCTCCAAGCCTCCGACAGGCGCCAAAACGCACAGCTTGCCGCCTGGCTGCAAACCACCGGTAAGCGGCGAGATGATCTTGGGGTTGGGTGCTGTCGCAAGGATCAAAGCAGCACCTCCTAGTTTCTTAAGCTCCTTGACGGGGTCTGTTGCGCTCGAGTCGATGTACTCATGCGCACCCAACTTCATCGCAAAGTCCTTCTTCGTAGACCCGGAACTCAGGACCACGACTTTGTAGCCCATGCGACTGGCGTACTGCACGCCAAGATGACCCAAGCCGCCGAGACCCTGAATGGCAACGAGATTGCCTTGCTCGATTTGCATCTTGCGAATGCTGTTGAAAACGGTAACACCGGCGCAAAGAAGTGGTGCTGCTTCCGCAGGATCGACGTCCTTTGGCACCCGGACTGCCGACTCGGCACGGAGCAGCACGTACTCGGCATACCCACCATCCCGGAACACACCATTAATCGTCTCGTTATCACAGGCTTGGAAGAACCCCTTTTGGCACTGTCGACACGTTCCGTCATGACCTGCATGTCACCATTAGAAACAGCTCTCCACGTACAAATGCATGAGGACTCTGGGACAGACACACCTCCGTGCCAAGCACCTCCAACACGCTCTCCGCCTGTGAACCGGCTCACGCCTTCGCCCACTGCCACCACGTCGCCAATGATCTCATGGCCCGGGATCCGTGGGAAAACGTCTCCGAAACCACCTTCTGCCATGCCTACATCGGAGTGGCATACCCCGCATGCTAGAACTTTGACGAGGACGAGGCCGGGACCTGGTTGTTTCAGGTCCTGGTCGACAATCTTGAGGGGCGCGCTCTTGGACTCGATAACGGCCGCCTTGAAGGTTTTTGGAAGTCCCGACATTGTGAATCGTGATCTTGCGGTCTTGGAAGCTGAGTGTCAGGGTTTGGAACACAGAGAAAAGATGTGCTATGAAAGAGAGAGGTTGCTCTTGCGTAGACCTTAACTTGGAGCGGCGGGATGGCCACTACTTATATGCATGCAGGACTAAGGGTAAGAAGTCAGTCTGTGTATCACACATATCGACTTGACTGGTGCAAAACTGGAATCCACGCTTTCCGAGAGGGTCGGGCAAAGTCAAGTCCAGACTTCCAAGCCCCTCATTTGTTTACTAATAAACAGAATAGCTCCAGAGACCCAGTACCCAGACGCCTGCACTGCTGATAAGAACTCCTGGCTGCAGTCATCTCCTGTAAGCTTTGCATGTCTCTTAGGATGCTTCCAGAGAAGCTTGGGTTGTCGGTAAGACTAGGACGGATTGAGAAGAGGGGTTCAAGTGTGGTGGCGCTGATACCATGGCTACGATGACATCAACGAGACTCAATTCAACCCTCATGGATGTGAGCCCCTCCCATAGCTCCAGGATAGAGCTGGTTGTGCAAAGAATATCATCGATGGTAGAGTCGTTCTACCCCTACTGTGTAAATTCAGATGGAATTAATCGGCCGCCCGTTGCTGCCAAGATATGTACGGCCATGACACCGTCACAAATTCCGCGGAGGCCATGGAACCCACGCATGATCTGCTTCTCGGGGATATCTCTACCTGGCCTTCGTGGCAAGAGCAAATCCACCAAGTTGTGTGTGGCTGGAGGATCAACTGCGGCTTGGGAGAGATCTCATGGGACCCATCGGCAATCGGCGCGCCGAACGCAGACTTACGTCCCGTCCTGCATAACTCCGTCAGCCAATGAAATATTTTTCCTTTTCGGTTTTGCAGGGGTCTCTTTCTCCAAAGCCGACAGATACGGACGAGCGAGTCCTCCGTTTCGTTCGTACCTTAAGGTAGCCACGGCAGCATGCTGGGCGTAAAGGTACCTTACGCAGTATGTTTGTCACGGAGTTCAATTGCCTCAGCCTTACCGGGGCAAACAAGGATTCGAAACCATGCCAAAGCTAAGTCGTCAAGCTTTCCTTAGCACGCGTACGGATGAGAGATGTGTAGCATTCGTGATTATCCTGAGAGCTCCGATATAGCCGGTAAGCTATCCACCAGCTGAGCACTGAAGTACTTTTCTCGCGCTTCGCGCCAAACAAAGAACTTTTGATGGCCGTCCGAGAGCAACAGAATGATGGAGAATACTGCACAATTGCGGAGATAGCAGAGCTTGATCTGATATTCCCTTCCAGAGCCTCCCCACAACCTCGGCCTTCGCGCGCAAGGAGCTATGCTCTCAGGCAGCGAAGTCTTGAAGGCTTAGCTCTGAAACCACGCCTTCTGGAGGTGCAAACCGAAGTCCCCGAAACTCCATGAATGTGGTCATTGATGGAGTTGATGGATCTTTTGTCGCAGTAGCTGAAAGCTACCTCGGGTATATAAATGATCAAAGCTGCCCACTTCCTGTACTTTGTCCTCTGAAATAAATAAAAAACAACGGAATATCACTTTAATAGAAGCTTCAAATACTTCAGTCACACAATCCAACCGTCCAACGTATCAACAGAGCTTCACGTACAAGCAGGCCTAGAAATATCATTACACGCAGAATGTCTCTCCAAGATAAGGTCATCCTCATCACCGGAGGTTCCAAAGGCATCGGCAAGGCCATCGCTCTTGATGCTGCCGCGCAGGGTGCCAGGATTGTTGTCAACTACAGCAGCGACTCAACCGCCGCCGACGAAGTTGTCAAGGCCATTGGTAGCGACCGCGCTATTGCCGTGCGCGCCGACGGCTCCAAGACGGCCGAGTTGCAGAAGCTCGTGGATGTCACCATCGACAAGTTTGGCAAAATAGATGTGCTGATCCCCAATGCTGCCATCATGCACATGCGCACTGTCGAGAATACTACGGAAGAGGACTTTGACCAAATGTTCAACACCAACGTCAAGGGACCCTACTTCTTGGTACAGGTATGCGATCCAATCCATTTCGACGTGCCCTTGTGTTCTATAAGACTTACCTTTTCCGAAAAGAAAGCTCTCCCCCACATGTCTGAAGGCGGCCGCATCATCTTCCTCTCAACAACCGTCCTCGCTTCAAGTAGCCTTCCCCCGCCGTACCTGCTCTATGCATCGACAAAGGGCAGTATTGAGCAGATGACCAAATACATGGCTAAGGACCTTGCCAAGAAAGGCATCAACGTCAATGCTATCGCGCCTGGCCCCACCGGGACCGATTTGTTCTACAAGGGCAAGACGGAGGAGATGCTCAAGAATATTACTGCCAGCAGCCCCTACAACAGAATTGGTACACCAGAGGAAATAGCCTCTGTGGCCATCTTCTTGTCAGGAAAGGAATCATCTTGGGTGACGGGGCAGACCATTCGCGTAAACGGAGGGGCTGCATGAGATGCATGTAATTAGACAAAGGCTTGCGCATGTAGTGCTAGTCCTTAATATAGAATTTCCATGTCCGACTCCTTGGCCTCACTCCATCGAGGCAATCACTCAATATGGGATCATGGACCATCTTGGACGCTCTTTCAATATCCCAAAAATCTAAAGTTCAACTGATGGCGCCGCTAGGGATTCTACTGAGCCCCCAAGGCAGCTAGTGCATTGCGCAGCTCCTTCACTGCCGTCGGCACGTCTTCAAAGTTGAGCGCAGATATAGCCCACTTGGCGTGCTTCTGTGCCTTTGGCAAATCCATATCATCCGAAGGTGCACTGCTTGGTGCCCACGACTTGTGTGAACCGGCAGCCACCTCGGCTCTGGGCTGAGGTACAATCGGCGGTGGCTTGAATTGCTGAGGCGCCGGAGGTGGAGGCGACTTGGTTACATTAGGAGGGGGTATCTGAGGCGGCTGCCACGGCGACGCAGTGTTGGCCGGGCTGAATGACGGGCCGGTCGAGGATGCGGCATAAGGAGAAGGGGCTGACGGTTCGTTTGCCTTGGCGGAAGAGTCATTTACGCCGGATTGGCTCAAGGGAGATGGCGGGAACTGTTCGGGAGGGTCAAAGTAGCCCTGAGTCTGTGGTGCCGGCGGGTTGAGGTCGTTTGCCGACGGCACTGATGGAAGATCGAGCACGCTGGACTGGGCAGGCTCAGGCTCGCTGGGCTTGGTTGTCGGCGCGGTCTCTATCGGTGCCGATGCCTTTTTGTAAAACTCGGTCTCCGGGTCGTCCTCGACGGACGCAGGCTTTGGGGACGTTAATCCTTGGACGTCTGGGTCGTTAGGATCCAGCGCAGGAAGAACATCTTCGGCTGCGGGCTCTTCCTGTTTGGGGTTCGACTCGTTGGGATCCTTGCCCTCCTTCAAAGCCTTGAGTATCCGAGCAGCGTTCCACTTTGCATATTTGACCTTTTTGAGCGTTTCTTCGTCTACAGGTCCCCAAATATTGCCCAGTAGGAGGAAGGTTGCAGCGGCATCGAAGGTATCAGCGGTTTGCCTAGGTTCGAAGCACGTTAGGAGGCAAGGAAGGTGGTGTTATCGTAGTGGACAGGGCGTACCTGGTGACGCGATTCGCGCGCATAACCTTCTCTGCCCTGTCGAGAGTTTCTTGTGCGAATTGCTCGACATATGCTTGCCCAACTGTGTCGTCGGTGATGGCTTCTTCTTGAGCGTTCTCGGTTTTGGTCTGGCACGGCAACTATCAGTCTCTGACGCACAGCAACAACGATAACATCATCATCGTCCTACTGACCTGCTCAAGCTTATCCATAAGATTTGTCGTGTATGAGAGACTCTCATCGTCGACATTGTGCAGACCCTTGGCTAGGATTTGGTTGACCACCCAGTATTCGCCTGTGTGTGTATCTGGTCAGTATCTAGAGCAACCTCCGGCCATGCAGTAGTAATGGAGATGCCCAGACATACACCAGTAGGTCACCACAGGTTTGTGCTGCCGCAGCTGATTTGCGCGATTGATGAATCTCGTGATGTCTGCCTGTCGCAGGCTGTCGGGGATCGGCTCGGCCATGGCTGCGGCGGCGGCGGCTGCAGCAAGCAGAAGGAAGAGGGTTCGAAGGGCGCGATGGACAGTATCGGGAAAAGACGCTTTTGATCAGTATCGGGGTCCGGACGAGAGCAAGGGGAAAACCCTTTTGCTCAGTGACAGCTCACGGGCGCAAAGATGTAGCGGACTTGCGACGAGTGGTGCTGCGCCAAGAGGTAGGAGACATGTATTCCGTATCTTGGAAGCCTTACCGCAGGTGACTTATCAGCAGCAGCACCCCACACGGCGCACATCACAGCGGGGTGGGAAGGTCATCGGGTACGTACCTGCATCCATCAGGTGGACGACGACCTCAGATTGTGAGGTACCTTAGGTACATACTTTCAGGGAGGTACGTCCACAGAAGGAAGTACTGCGGCTTGTGGTGCTCAAAATGTGGCTCAAGCTCAGCAGAGCTGGTGTGGGGTATGTGGCTGGTGCTCAGGCCAGATGCTCCGATACAATTGACTGGAAATTTCCATGGTTCCATTCCCAGGCCGAATTAAGCCCAAAGGTGAGGGGTTCGCGTCTCACAGTTCCACGCTGGCCTCTTTGCGCTGCGAAGAAGCCAACTAAACTTTTATGCTTCCCTTTGCTTGCTTTCCCAATTCCATAAATGCAGACAGGGACAGAGCTCTCTCACATGGCTGAACCCAGTTCCATGCTCTGAACGTTTTATTCCCACACCTTTTCTCTTATCTCCCGGCTTCCTTTCCTCCCTTCCTCTCTTTCTGTTCTCTCTCCCTCTACCTTGCCCATCCACGTACGTCTCCATTGTCTCTGGCGTCACATCACTTGCTGCCGTCCGGCGCCCTTCTACTCACCTTGCCCACCCCACACTTTACGCCTACAACAGATAAGGTGCATTGCTGCTAAACTTTATCCACCACGATGCATCACCCCACTCTCATTGCAGCTGGCGCTGCCGTTTTGTCGGCTTTGCCCGGCGCCCACGCTGGCATGTATCCAAAGAGCTCTGCTGTGCTCCAAGTTGATGCCAAAAACTACGACAGCGTGATTGCCAAATCCAACTACACATCGGTAAGGCATTTTTCATGGTGTTGTTTACATCAATCACATCTTCTTCCAACATGCTTACCTGAGCTTGCCAGATTGTCGAGTTCTATGCTCCCTGGTGCGGTCATTGCCAGAACCTCAAGCCTGCTTACGAAAAGGCTGCCAAAAACCTGAATGGTCTGGCCAAGGTTGCTGCCGTCGATTGCGACGAGGATGCCAACAAGCCTCTCTGCGGTCAGATGGGCGTGCAAGGCTTCCCTACCCTCAAGATTGTGAGGCCTGGTAAGAAGCCTGGCAAGCCCGTTGTCGAGGATTACCAGGGGCCCCGTACCGCCACCGGCATTGTTGAGGCTGTCGTCGACAAGATCTCCAATCACGTCAAGCGCGTTACTGACAAGGACCTCGACTCTTTCCTTGAGGGTGACAAGCCCAAGGCAATCCTATTCACTGAGAAGGGCACCACTAGCGCTCTGCTCCGCAGTGTCGCCATCGACTTCCTCGACGCTGTCACAATTGGTCAGGTTCGCAGCAAGGAGGCAAAGGCTGTCGAGAAATTCGGAGTCAAGTCTTTCCCCGCCCTGGTGCTACTGCCCGGCGGAGACAAGGAACCTATTGTCTACGATGGAGAACTAAAGAAGGATGGGCTGGTGTCGTTCATTTCCCAGGTCGCCTCCCCCAACCCCGACCCCGCGCCCAAGGCCGACAAGAAGAAGGCCGACAAGAAGGCAGAGACGAAGCCTGAGAAGAAGAGCAAGCCTGCGTCCGAAAAGTCAAGCACCAGCACTGCCACCGAGCAGGAGGCTACCCCTGAGCCTGAAGCCGCCACCGAGACCCCGTCTTCTGAGCAAGCCGCCCCTGTCCTCAACGTCATTCCTCCATTGCCCATCGCCAACACGCCCGGGAGACTCCTGTCGGAATGCCTCAACACCAAGTCCCACACCTGCGTCCTGGCCTTCGTGCCTTCCAAGGAGAACGAGAAGGCCGAGAAGGCGCTTACCAGTCTGTCAGAGATCGCCCACAAGCACGGCCAGGCCAAGCGCAAGCTGTTCCCCTTCTTTTCCGTCCCCGACGAGAACCCGGCCGCGGCCACTGTCCTCAAGAGCCTTGGCCTTACTAGCGAGGTTGAGATCATAGCCGTCAACGCACGCCGGAACTGGTGGAGACACTACGAGGGCGATTTCGATGCGACGAGCGTCGAGAGCTGGATTGATGCTATCCGTCTTGGTGAGGGAGCGAAGAAGCAGCTGCCTGATGGATTGGTAGCTCAGGAGATCGAGCCCGAGTCTTCGGAGAGCAGTGCGACCGCCTCTACCGCAGCCACGGATCCTACTGCCGAACCCGAGACGGAGGCGCCGAAGGAGGCACCATCTGAAGCCCCCGCGCCGCATGATGAGTTGTAAACATCCGCTTATCCTCTACAATCTGCATGAATGGTTAGCTAGGACCGTGTGTACATTAGTTAGTCAATGTGATGGGAGAAATCTGACCATTGCCAATACCGCTGAGCCCCTTCTGTGGTTGATGCTGCCTTCCATGCTCCCACTCATGATTCCATTTCCAAGTCCAAGCCGGTGCCTTTCTCTACCGTACCCTCTTGTACCATTTGACGGCCCTTCTCCTTGACCACGCGGTCCATAAACTGCCGCACCTGTTTGCATCCATCTACACCAACAGCAAGCATGCCCTCCAACCGGCTGACCTGAACACGGCTTTCACACACTAACACGGCAACACGGTCTGTGAGGCCCAGCGTTCCCACTGTCATATACGGCAGCTCCTGCTCTTCCTGGGTGTTGAGATCGAGTAGAGGGTCAGCACCATCATCGGCGGCTGCGTATGTAGAAGTTGAGCCGGCAGTGCAAGCAGCGATGTAGTCGGTCATGGGAATGCCAGCATCGATGAGTGCCAGCGTCGAAGCGTTCAGAAGGGCCGCCAGAAGGGAACCGTCCTGCGACAAAACATGTAGAGAGATGGTGATGCTGCTGTGGGGGAAGAGGTGTGTATGAAGGTTCGCCGAGACAGCTTTGGCAATGGTAGCCTCGAGTTCTTGTGACCGCCTGCAAGGATCGAACGATTAGCCGAGGCAATACGCACATGCACTCACTCAATGCACTTACTTGTCGTTGCGGCCTCGCTTCATACGGTCGACAGAGCTAAAACCGGCGACGACGAGGTTGACGGTAACGGCAGCTTCCTTGGACTGGCCGCCGGCACCTCCGCGACGCTGTGGTTCAGCAGGTCCTGTAACAACGCACATGACCTTTGTGTGGCCCATCTCGAGGTAGCTCGAGCCATCGGCGGCTTCCTGGGTACGGATCTGGGCGTGCAGGCGTCGGAGCTCGTTCCAGCGGCGGCCATCAACGCGCAGGAGCGCCATGGAGTAAGTGGAGGTATCTAGAGGCATGATTGGGCCACCTGCGATTTCCTTGGTTGTATATTTGCGCTGAATTCAGTGGTCGTAGGTGGAAGAACAAATGGAGGGATCGCGAGCGCAGAAAGTTGTTGACAAAGTGTTGCACAGGGTGGGATGCGAGGCTGTTGCTGTTGCGACTGCGACAGAAGGATAAAACCAAATTTTTGGAAAGCGTCAATCCACCCACCGCCTGCCTTTGGCCACGCTGGGAAAGGTGGGATGGTGGGGCCGGGCGGTCGGTGAGACGGCGTCCGGGTCCCGGTCATCTACGTACAGAGCTCGGGCCTTTGAACCCCTGGGACCCTGGGCTTCCCATGGCCCGCACTGTCCATCCCGAAATCGCGGGGAAGCTCTCCCATCTTGGTGGTGGGAAGACCAGAGAGGAGGGAATCTCGAAACTAAAGAAGTAACATCAGACTCGGCAAGGATGTTGCAAGTAAATTCGACAACGACCAGCTGCCACCTTCACTACACACAGCTGACTGTGACTGGTAGGAATTGAAAACGCGGGGTAGCGAGAGTCAATGCCATGTTTTCTTCTCGCGCTGAAGGTACACTGTATGAGTTCGCGCGGACTGTTGAAGGGCGGTTTGGAACAGGAAGAGACATGCAATTGCTGCTTTCCGAAATCCTTCGTCGTTATTCTCCTTTGATTACGAGAACATTCAAATCTCACTCACTGCCGCCACGAACCGTATCATTTAGGTTTGAACCTTGGTAGTGTTGATGACCGGTGTCTTCGTTCTCATTCCTCGTTATGCTAATATTACAATCTTGTTGCAGGAGGGATGATGGTGTCGGTTACCTGGAGCAGCCACATTGCTCGACCGAAAAGTCCATGCCCGCCTTCATGTCCGTGCCATCCAGTCCCAAAAAGAAAAGAGCTCAGTTCCGTTCGCGAGCTTGCCCAAAGTAAAAGGAGAGTTGATAGTCCACGCCGTTTAATTTCAATTGTTACCACTCAAGCCATGACCAGGACACCCATAGTGGACGTGTTGAACTCGGACGCCGGAGGCACCAGAACCAAGGAGTTGGTTGGCTTAACCTCGTCGTCTTCGGGCCCATCAGTCCATCCTCTCTCAGGGCCCCATCTGATCTTCCGGTTGTTCGCCGATGTCACCTCCAGAAGGGCCCGCATCATTCCACCCGACTTCTTCACACCAGGCCAGGCGTCGAAATATACTGTGTCGATCCAGGGCATCTGGTTGAATATTTCCGTCAGGAGAGACTGGCTGAAACCTTCATAAAAGCCATCCGACCGGCGAAAGCCGTTAAAAATGCCGTCGCTAGGATCGCATTCGACCAGTACCGTCAAGCGACGGACGTTGACGCACTCGTGGAGGCCCAGAGCTGGCGTCACCACCCATCCTCGCGGCGGCTTACTCCATCCGGGACCAAGGCGAAGCTCCAAGGATGTAATGTACGATCTTGAGCTTGGCTTCATACGAGCCAAAAGCGGCTTCTTGCTTTTGAAGTACTTGCCCGGGTGTGTTGGGAAAATGCGGAACGGGCGGCTACTGTAGAAGTAGTGAGAGACTTCTTGATAGACAGTGCGGCACGTTCTTTGGATTCCGAGCTTTTTGTGGTAGGTCTTGTAGTTGTCCGGGTCGAGGTCCACGACGCCACTACTGCCTTCAAAATAATAGTCGTAAATCTTGAGGCGAAGTTCTGATGGCAAAGCCATGAACGCAAAAGGCTTGGCCTTTCTCCTGGCTGCTCTTCTCTCGCTCAGAGTGAGAGAGCCGATACTGTCTCCAAGTGCATCTATTTCAACTTCGGAGGCATACGTCGACGGGTAGGCGGAGCTTAGTGGCGTGGTAAGAGTAGACGCAATCGGTGTCGGGTCGAGTGATGAGCCGGCGGCTCTCGATATCTTGCCGCGGCGAACCATTGTTGCAGTCAGTGGCTCAGTTTGATATGCGTGATGCTAAGGTATCTTGGGTTATTGAATCCTTTCCAGGTATTCGATGTATACTCAAGATATTGAGGTTTTCGTAATGCGCCAACAGGGTTGATGGGTAGGAGCGTCGGGAGTGGCGGGGTGGCGGGGCGGCTTTTTCCTCAAAGAATGGGATCTTGTGGTTATGTGCAGAGATTTCAACAGCTTTGTGTTTAGTTTGTTTGGTTGGTGAAGTTGTTGCAGGTCGACGGACAGTCTCGCAGAGCGTAGAGAATCACAGAGGGTGGGCCCATTGTGATCGTTGATGCGAACTTGGGGACCACCCTCTAGAATTCACCACGCGCGACGGCCATGGTGACGATAGAGGCAATTGTGACGGTGCTAGGTTGAGTTGAACGGCTTGTGATGATGTGACTGTATCTGAGGGATTCGGCCAGGTTAGGGGAAGTTCGAGGGTACTCTTTGAGGGTTGCAATAAGAGGGAAATGCGAAGTGGAAAGAGTTGCGGATGGAAGTAGGTACTGGGGGTCTGGCGCAGTTATGAGGGGGGGGCAGCACTCAGGATGGACGGACACTCGGTGGGCGGTGGTGGATGCAGCTCATGCATGAAGGTCACTGCCGGAGGGGACGAAGGACATCCATCGGTCGCGCGTCCGCCATTCAGACAAGGTTCGCACGTGAGCCGCTTCCCAGAGGACGTGCACCTGATTAACTAAGCAGACGCGAGCTGTGGCCAATCATTGCTGTAGAGAACCCAAGGTGGGACAGCATCTGCATCGAGAATGACCTCATTCAAGGTTCCTTATCCGTACAGTGACTTACCTAAGTGTACACTTATCGCCGATGGAGATAGCCGGAGAATACTCGGCACCCGGTCGTACCTTGGTGGATCAACGCTGTTTTGCAGTTCCCTTAGGTTCTCACCCTGGCCACAGTGGCACCAGCTCCCTGGGGCACCTTCCAGGTTCTGCAGGACAGCCACTTCACAGTGAAGTTCCAGGTTCCGAGCTTCTCAAGGCACCGTGCACCCAACGAGCTGTCATTCGTTCCCCTGGTCAGAAAGTTCAAAGGTGGTCCGGACAGTGTGCTTCCTCATCGAAAATTTCTAGTGCCTTCGTCAGGAATATCGCCAAACCCACTCCACCTCAACCTCACACGCCTGCACCAGCATCTTATCCCGTCAGCTGGCGCGCCGCGCAACACGTACCCATCGTTTATCAACCATCGGATCAAGACAACGGTCCAGCCTCGAAGCCATCAATACATAGTCACGTCCACATTGGCCCTTGAAACGCCATGCTGTCAAGGGCAGCTCGCATCGCGCGTCTGCAGCCCACTGCGGCGCAGCTCTACCGCTCTGTCGCAACACCAGCTGCAAGGAGACCTGAGTTCCTAGCCTCATCATGGACCAGGGGTTTTGCGCAGAACAATAAGCCGAAAGGTCCCTCTTCAGAAAAGCCGATTGACCAGCAAAAGTCTTCTGAATCGACGCAAGAGGAGACCTCGGCGTCGTCAAGTCCCGAATACAAAGCAGCGTACGAAGAGGCTGCCGAAGCTTCATCCAAGACATCCTCAACACAAACTCCCAAATCCGACGCCGAGAATGCCGCCGATAAGACCGAAGCTCCTGAGCCTGCCGCACCTACCGGCCCACTACCCGACCTCACCCAGGGAATCCCCTCCACCCTAGCATACGAGATGTCTGGTGCGACAAACAAGGCCGCGCTGGCTGCCCTCGCTGAAGAAGAGGCTGTGGCCCAGGGCGGCGGTCGCGGGCGTGGAGAGCTTCCCGACTCGGCATACGTCTCATCAACAGACAGGAAAAGACAGCAGTTTGCGAGCCGCATGTTTCTCGCCTTTGTCGGCTTCGGGGCTGCCGGTGCCGTCTACCTTGGCCGCAACTGGGAAGACAAGGCAGACGAGCTTCGGCACGCCGAGGATGCACCGAACGGATGGGGGTTCGGCGCTTGGTGGAACAGAGTCACCGCCCGTACCGGCGACTTCTTGAATTACTACCAGGAGCCTGCCTTTGAGAAGCTGCTCCCTGATCCCGATCCGTCTTTTGAGCGTCCCTACACCTTGTGTATCAGCTTGGAAGATATGCTCGTTCACAGTGAGTGGACTCGCGAGCACGGTTGGAGAGTGGCCAAGCGCCCCGGCGTTGATTACTTCCTACGTTACCTGAGCCAGTACTACGAGTTGGTTCTCTTCACGAGCGTTCCTTTTGCCATTGGCGAGCCGCTTGTTCGCAAACTTGACCCCTACCGCTTCATCATGTGGCCCCTCTACCGCGAGGCGACCAAGTACAAGGATGGTGAAGTTGTCAAGGTTCGTAGAATGCCCCTCAACCATGTTCTGTACTACCTCTAACCCGGATCCAGGATCTGTCTTACCTCAATCGCGACCTGTCCAAGGTGATCATTATCGACAGCAGCGACAAGCACGTCCAGAACCAGCCGGAGAACGCCATTGTTCTTCCCAAGTGGAAGGGCGAGTCCAAGGACAAGGAGCTTGTCAGCCTGATTCCTTTCCTCGAGTACATCCACACCATGCAGTACGGGGATGTTCGCAAGGTCCTCAAGTCCTTCGAGGGCAAGCACATTCCTACCGAGTTTGCTCGCCGCGAGGCGATTGCACGTGCCGAGTTCAACAAGCAGGTGGAAGCCAAGAAGAAGAAGGCGCCTTCAGGTATGGGCTTGCTGGGTGGCATGCTCGGCCTCAAGCCCTCCAACATGGCCTTGATGGTTGCCCCCGATGGTGAACAAAACCCCCACGAGGCTCTCGCTCAGGGTAAGATGCTCCAGGATATCGCCCGCGAGCGCGGCCAGCGCAACTACGAGATGCTCGAGAAGGAGATTCGCGAAAACGGTGAAAAGTGGCTCAAGGAGGAAGCCGCCATGCAGGAGAAGGCCCAGCAGGAAGCCATGCAGAGCATGATGGGCTCCTTCAGCGGATGGTTCGTTAAGGGCGATGACGCCAACAAGAAGCAGTAAAGAGGCTGCTGCCACGCACAACCAAAATCCCTTGGCTAATCAGCACATCTTGTGCTTTCCACAAAGACCCATTTCTTCTCTCCTCTTACCAAAACTATTTGTATTTGTATTATCAGGCAAGCTTGGACGGCGAGGAGGCGTCCCAACTTGCATATAGACTTGACGACGTGGGTCTGCATATGTACGAATCTCTGTATACTACTACATTGCCAGAACACCTCTATGAGGGAATGGCTCAATCAAAGTTGACGTACCAGTATGCGATGTAAAGCCGATCTGTAATCAAGTGGCCTAATTAAATCAAAGTAAAACCTAGGGGTTGACCCATTCCATTGCCAGGTTCTTTAGTTGATACACATTGTTCATTACTATAAGCCTATGGGTTTCCAGCCCATTGCTCGTTGCTCATCATCAAACATCGTAGTCAGTGCTACTATTCGCCATCATCACGTACCTCCAGTGGCCGGTACCAAATCAAGCTTTCCAAATATCCTTCATTGATCGAAACTCGGCTAGCTAACATGACTGTCTTGAGGCTGAGAATGCTTAAGCTGGGTGAGGGTTCTTTTTGATCCCTACTCTCGCACACTGCTCGCAGTTGGGGTTTGTGACGCATTGGAACCATCTGCCAATAGGTTAGTCTACTGGCAATGACTTGATCGCAACACCCTTTTGTGAAGAGTGTGAAATTGCAAAGTGCTAAGGATCCCACGTACCCGTCTCTATCTTTCCCTTTCAAGTCGTCGCAGCGGCAGGCCAACTGACAGTAGTGCCATAATGGATTGAATGGTGGCGTCTTTCCTGCCTCGATGAGAGGGTCTACTTCCGCGAGGGAGCTGGTGCCTGGCTTCTGTGGGGTTGGCGCGGCCAGACCGTGTGCCGTGAAGAGGGTGAAGAGTGTGAGTTGGAAGAAGCGCATGTTGTTACGGTATCAAGAACCGGGCTGTGAGTCTTGTATCTCAGAAGTGGTGTTGAGCGGTAAACATAGAGTAGAGTACCAAATGTTGCTGTTTCGAAGCCTCGAGTTTATATTGCAATGTTGGCTGATGTCGATGCTTTCAATCCATGTCCGCAACCTCGCCCTTGCCCTGGATTATATACCCTCAACGCCCGAGAGGAAAGACCACTTCCTTTTCCAGACTTTGATATTCAACCCGTAAGCCAGTATCGCCGCAAGATCATCTGCATCAATGTTTGCGGTTCACTCAGCATGAGGCTGCGCGAGGAAGTACAAGCTGGCACAGCAACAATGCTATCAGGGTGACAATGCTTCCTGGTCTGGTGACGATTTCTGTGTTTCTCGATATTCCCCAGATACTTCACAGCTCGAAAGACCAGCTCAGTACTGGGTGTCCTGGGATCGAAAAGGTCCGAGTGAGCTCATATGACCAAAGAAAGCATACCTGGACTCCTGTCGAATGTCGTGCAAAAGGTCGTACCAGTATAATCTCGATTGAAGGCGAAACAGCAACAGAGCAACACTTATAGAATCCATCATGCGATCTTTCGCCTTGTTCTCCCCGGTAAGCAGGGCAACCAGCGTCCAGCAAGGGAGGCCGGCAGGCATACTAGGGCATTAGACAAAAGACGTGCGACAAAAACGGCCTTTCAGTGCTGCCATGGAATTGGACTTGCTCCCACGGCACTTGTACGACGTGACAAGGTCGCGTTTTCGCGGAGTCGAAGCTACTTGACCCAGTCCAGCTGTTATCGTCTGGAACGTGTCGACATTATGTCCCCGAATGAATTGACACATTGCACACCTTCAGATGTAGTAACGTAATCATAAATCGCACAAAAGTTGTACGAGACCACATGGCGGTGAGACATCTCGCAGTAGATCAGGTACGCAGCGCAATCTGGCAGCCCTGCGCAGCGTCGTCCCCCATAGTTCAATGTTGACAAGTGGCAGAGAACACAGCATGATCTATTCTCATATTGCAAGTTGGACGTGTGAGCTGAACGCCTCAGCCATTGCCTCACCGCGGAGATGTCCCGACGTGTTGCCTTGGGGGATGTGTCGTGGAACTTGGGGTAAGGGGAAGCTGCTCAGTCATGCGCGACTGATGAAAGATATCCGTGACAGCTTGGGTGTACAAGCCCAAGGATCTATCACTGACAGCGCTGTCCTTATACTTATGCATCATCAAGGCGATGGACGGACACTGTTGCCATCGTAACGGAAAAGGACACACATAATATCACAGCATGCCGGATGGAAATTGCAAGAACGATGCGAGTAATGCTACAAAATGAGATTGTACACTAGAAATGAGACAAGGCTTTTCCTGGCCGGGTATTTGAGCAACATTATTATGAATTGGCCTCCCCGTTTTGAACCATCTTCTTTTCCCCCGGGACTGGTGCTGGTGCCGGTGCTGGTGCTGCAACGCTGGCACTGCTTGTCGCTGTCACGACTAGAACGCCGTACGCAACAAGCGCTACGACTGCAATGAGGTCGATGATGTGGACGAACCACCAAAAGTGCTGGGTGCCCAAGGCGCAGGTTGCATATTCAAATTGCCAGGTCCACGTGGTCTCGTCAAACCAGGCGCTGAGCAGACCTGCGTTGCCGCCAAAGTCGCCCATCATACTCCTGACCGTGATCTCCCTCAGCCCTGGAGCACCAGCTGCACCGACTGCGCCGCGACCCTTTGCGGTCGGCCAGGTTTCGACCTCCCATGACCGATCTTGTTGGTCTGGTTTCGTCTGGTTGATGTAGTGGTACGTGTCACAGCCCTCGTGATCGTGGCCGTTCAAGATGACGCCGCGGCGACCTTTGCCGTTGCCGGGCGCCTCCGTGTTACCGCTCATGCCAAAGATGCCCTCGAGGAAGCCCTTGCTCGCGTCAGCCGAGAGCAGGTTCTGCTCCTTGACTCCGCCACCGTCGTGATCGCCGTGGAAGTCGAAGAAGGGCGCGTCGACGCAAACACCTTCAGGCTTGTACAACGGGATGTGAGTCAGCACAACGGTGAAATGACCGCTGTATTCTACCGCCGCCGAAGTCTCAATGACTGCGTTGATGAAGGCATATGTGTCGTCTTGGAGGGACGTGTCCTTGGCCGGAGTATCCAAATTCATGTCGTTCAGGACAATGACGCGAATCTCTGGGGGGAGGCGATCGGACTCGGGATTTTGCTCGTCGTCCACAATGGTGGCGTTGAGTTTCGGGTCTTGAATGGGGAGCTCGAAGCGTAGCTCATAGTTCGCCTTGCCAAAGAGGCGCTCGAATCGGCCGAAGCGGTCCTGGTTGATATCGCCGGCGTAACCAATGTCGTGGTTGCCGGCCACGTTGATAACACGGCGCGGCCACACAGCAGAGGGCTCACCAGAGACGGAAAGGTAGTCGGTGAGGTCATACTCCATAGCTGGGAACACTGCGGCTTCGTCTGGAACCCTCTCGGCCCCTCGCACCACGCGATCCCAATACCGACGGCCGCGGCGCCGGAACTCTTCAATGCCAATCCACTGGCTGCCCAAGAGGTCCCCAAGCACGGTAACGTGGGTAGGGCGAGTCCACCAGTGTACGGTTCGGAAGATATGTGCCAGGTAAAAGTCGTTGCCAAAGAGGTCTATCCGCTTGCGAATGGACTCGAGCTCGTCAAAGACGTCCTCCAAGAAGATATCGACAATGTCGTGCAGAGAGTGACGAATGCGCTGGCGCAACGAGTGACTCGATCCAAAGGTCACATGGGACCATAGACTTCTCGCGTGAGGGAAGATTGGGCCATCGTGTTTTCGAATAGACGTGTCGCCCTCGAGCTGGGGGTCACCAAGCGCGAGAAGGCGGAAAGGCGCGGGGCGAGCTTCGCTTGATCGTAGTGGGATTGGTAGAGGAATATGTTGTCGCGCAGCTTCGAGGAAGGCAGCGGCACTGCTGTCGGCGACATGGCTCGGACTCGTCGATGCGCTGCCGGTTGGAGCGACAGGGAATGCGCATCCCAAGAAGACGGGATAGAGATAGAGCCAAAAGGTCGAGATTACCGCCAGCGGCAGCAGGAGGCGGAGGCCATGGCGGAGGAGGGCCACGAGGGACATGTAGACGGCAGCATGAAGCAGAAATCAATGACTCTGCAGCTGTGTTTGATGTCGAGCCTCCTTGTTGTGAGAAGAGGGATGTGAAGCCAAAAGAAAAGAAAGAATTAATATAGTCGTATGAATACAGTCGAGATGGAAAGGGAAAGGGAAAAAAAAAAAACAATAATACGGAGTAGTTCCTCCTGTTTCGTCCAGCTTTCCGTCGCAATTTGCGTTCGGGGGTGACATGGGACGGAACATATGTGTGGAAAAGGGGTCCAAATGGACCCAGCTACAGCGACAGCAACCCTGACCAGGGCGCCAGGCACTGTGTCTAGGCCCCTGGGCCCTGGGGTGCCTCTGTAGTGGAGACCATTTCACCTGCTGTAAGGCAAGGTAGCCGGGTCCAGGCCACCGACGTCATTTGTTCCAGGCACTGTCCCAGCCGTAAGGTAATTTCTTGCCTCGATGCAAGACGCGATGAATGCATCTTCCTACCAATTGCGGTTCAATTACACATGTTCTTTGAATTAAAACCAAAGCCACAAGAAGCCTTTAAACAGCGATATACCAATGAGTCCCCGATTCTGGGGGCCAGATGTGCTTGCTTACCTTACTCAAAGGTCTCCAGTCGTGGTAGTCATCATGAACTGTCCTAGGTACCTTAGCCTGCTAACTTAAAAACAAAAAAAACAAGCTTGTTTCGATGCCCAGCACATTTTGGGCCCTCGATTTACTATCTGTGAGTGTGAATTAGCCAAAGGCGGTATCTTTCATCGCCTGGTACTCATGCATCTGTGCAGACAGATGCTGCTGTGTGTCTATGAAAGGCCACTCCTTTCAAGTTTGACGCACACGATTCATAATTCTGCGACCCCATCGCCCAACGCCATGCATGTATTGTTTTTGAAATCCCAAGTGTTATCCATCATGCGTCCGACCCCATGCCCTCTTCATCGTCCATTTCATCATCCAGGGTCGGGATATCGACCAAGAACTCAGGCTCATCTGTATCAAACGAGAATGCGACAATGCAGTTGTCTTTGAAGCCCTTGCCAACTGGCGTATCGCTGTCAGAGATCTTGATATTCTTCCATCCTTGAGTCAAATCGGTGGCATTGACAGGCAGGGCATAAGCCAGTTGTACATCGCCCTCAGGAACGGCAGTCGTCTCGGGGGAAGTGTGGTTGATTGTAAGGCCATCGGGAAAGCGGTCACGGAGCACCTCGAGCAGCGATGTGGTTACTTCGGAGAATTTCTGTTGGCCGTCGACAAACATCAAGATGGTGTGCGCACCGTACTTGAAGCGCACCGAGAAGAAGGTCTCGTCGATCTGCTAATCAAGAGTGTTAGCACCATAATGTTAGATAAGGCAGCAAGCTATGTTCATACCATCTTTGCGAGGTGTACCTGTTCTACCTTAGGTACGGAGATTGAATGCAGGTTGTTGGAGGCGACGGTGGGACGTCGCAAACCAAGATGTTGGCTGGGGATCGTCGGTGGGTGCAGAATTATGGTAAGGTACCGGTAATCCGTACTTTCTTTCAGGTGGCAGCTGTCAGGTAAGGTAAGCAGCGGGGAAGTCGCGACCGACAGAGCTCGGGACCGCGGGGCACTTTCCCCAATGCGAAATCACATGACTTCGTGTTGTGCGAAGAGATGGCCCAAGCTCCCTGGAGCTGACGGATCACGTACTTCTGCGCCTGAGGTGAGCACATTGGTTGGCCGTGCATGCCGGTCTCCGTCACCAAAGTCTTCAATTACCAACAGCCACAAACTGTCCCCTCTTTCAAAATGCCTGATTACGCCAACGAACACCACCAGACACAACCCGAGACCGGTTATCCTCCCAGTATCGATCCTACGATGGCCGAACGACCGCAGATGACGTTGGCGGAGAGCCTCAGTTTCGGCCAGAAGCCTTCCGAGGCTCGCCTCTCCATCCCGACACCAGCACGTATCCCGCTCGCAGGACTCATTGGATTTGGTATCGGAACTACTTTGGGTCTCGCCCATGGAGGTCGCATAGCTCAGCTGCGCTTCCGTGCTGAGCACGCGCACAAGATGCCAACCACGACGACCGGATGGTACCTCTACCACAAGAGCAAGAACTATCACACCATGTATGGCGGCCTCAGGGAAGGCTTGACCATGGGAGCCAGACTCAGTTTCTGGACCCTCATGGCCTTTGGCTTGGAGAGCACTATCGACCGGTATCGAGGCCAGAGCGATCTCATCAGTACCGTCTCCGCCAGTTTGACCGTGGCCGGTACTTTCAGTCTGTGGAGTAGGTCAACTCCGTCTCATGCAGGCGCATGCATGCATTCGCGTACTAATCGTTCTTATTCACTCTAGATCGCTTCTCTCTTCCAACGGCAGCTCGCACAGCAAGATACGGTCTCCTGTTTGGACTGGTATACGGTGGATTACAGGACGCTGTTGGTCTTGCTCGGGGCCGCCCCATTGGCTATGTCGAATCTCTACGCAGACGGTTTGGATCTGGCAAGACACCGAAGGCCGATCAGCCTCAGAGTGTTTAATTCTGGGCTCTCCCCGAGAAATCGGTCCTCACTGCAAAGAATCATCCTTCAGGTGCTGTGCAACCACGGATCGTTGGTTGCGCCGAAGATCGCCGAGCCAAGCTTGCGTAAAGCAGAAAGCCCCGAAGCCGGCGCGTGACCTCTGCCTCGCGAAGGAGAAGGTATCCGCATGTTGTTGCGCCGCCCGATTCGATATGGCCCAGCTGGTCCTATGCCGCGCGAAACTGAGACAGTGTACCACAGGACATGGCCGCAGTACCCCACGCCTGCCCAAGTACCAAGAAGCCTGGCCATCCAGCTGACTGCAGATGGAATGTCACAAACACTAGAATGTTCGAGTCGCAGAATGTCCTGTTTGCATCGAAACCATCTTGATGGAACCTCGTCGCACCGCCATCAGAGGCCAAAGCCATTCGCCAATGGAGGCTTTGCAAATTGCACTGCATCATTGCCAGGGTCCGTCCCAACGCTCCGCCTCCGCATCCGGCTACAGTCGGCTGTCTCTATGAGGCACAAGACCTCCACGTGACGGGTCTGTGGGAGGAGATAAGGGGCTTGGTTCAACTTGACCAAAGCCATCGTTGGCTAGGTATCCGACCGGCCTCGGCGCACAGCAATACATCATCTTCTTGGCCATTGACCCTGGCCTACCTGAGATAACGGCACAGTCCATGAGACGGCCTTGGAACTGTCTGTGGATTCGGGCATCTTGCAAAGACTCCTAGATAAAGGCTATGTCATGTGTAGGATCGTCGAGTACATTACCTACCTTGTAGTACCCTCTCGCGCCGATTTTCCATGTCACTGAGTAAATAACTCTTCATCAACCGAATCTACCTTAGAATTAGGCAACCGCTGTTCTGCCCTACTCAGTTACCAAGCTTTGTTTCCTCAGCTCGCATTGATCATTGCATTTGCCAAGGCGTCCTAAGCCTCAGCTTCTACAAAGGGCGCGTTTGCGTTTACCTTGCGGTCCTAGAGCCGCGGTCATGCTTGCACCTACTCAATAATACAGCATTGCTCTTAGGAGAAGACCGTTGCATGCCGCCTTCCTAGCATCCGTCTCACGGGCTGGAGTTCGGCAACATGGCAGCTTCCCTCCCATGAGGACATTGGAAAGATCCATACATTCGTCTACGAAGCGGCCGTTATTGAATAATCAGCTCTTGGACGCAGACACGACACCTACACACCTGGCACTCGAACGTAAGACGCCATCATCGGCAATAATACCTTCATCACCTCCGTCAATGGGCCCACCAAGACCCTTATCCATCCTTCCACTGAACGTCATCGTCCGCTCCCTACTGACATCAACACTATCCTCCTCGCCTATCCTTCTTCCACCCTCACTATGGCTAATGTCCGTCCTTGCGCACGCTACCAATCCACTGCTCAACCCAGACAAGAACTCACTCTTGCGCTTCTTCCTAAAGAATACATTTTACGCACAGTTCTGCGCCGGAGAAACTCCAGCCGAAGTTGGTCGAACCATCAAGGGTCTCAAAGACATTGGGTTCTCGGGTGTCATACTGGGATACGCAAAGGAAGTTGTCTTAACCGACGCTCAGAAAAAGGAATTGGGTGCTTGTAGCCAAGGCAAGATTGCGGAAGAGTGCGTTTACAATGAGATTATTCCTTGGGCCACAGGTACCTTGAAGACAGTAAAGCTGGCAGAACCAGGAGACTTTGTTGCTCTCAAGTAGGAACCATTCATTTCCATCTCTCCGTCTCGATCCTTCAAACCACGGCTTCTGACTGTTCTGGCAGATTTACTGGTGCCGGCCGTCAAGCGCTATATTCTCCCGCAGAACGCTTGCCAAGTTCCGCCGCCCTGACCGACGCCATCAACTCCATCTGCTCTCTTGCTTCCGAGCGTGGTGTTCGCCTCTTGTTCGACGCTGAGCAGGCCTCTCTGCAGCCTGGTATCGACGATTGGACCATGGAGTACATGCGAAAGTACAATACCGCCCCAGGGCATGCCCTCATCTACGGGACGTATGGGGCGTACCTAAAGTCAACTCCAGAGACGCTCTCAAGACATCTTCGAGTCGCAAGAGAAGAAGGCTTCACCTTGGGCGTGAAGCTTGTGCGCGGTGCCTACATTGGAACCGACCTGAGACACCTCATCCACGACACGAAAGAAGGCACGGATGCCTGCTACGATGGCATTGCCGAAAGTCTCCTCAAGAAACAATGGGGAATGTTTTGCAGGGTGACCTCCGAATGCCTCCCATCAGCTTGGTCATTGCCTCCCACAATGCCGAGTCCGTCAGGCGGGCTCGAGAAATTTGTATCGACGGGGAAGCCAGTACTGAGGTAGCCTTTGCACAATTGCAAGGCATGGCGGACGAAGTTGGCTGCGAGCTAGTCTGTCCGACAGGGTCGGACAATATGCGGGAGCAGAAAAGAGCAGAGTCTCAGCCATCGAAGCGTACAAGTATCTCGTTTGGGGGTCGACTGGGGAATGCATGAAGTATCTCTTGAGGAGAGCGCATGAAAATCGGGACGCGGTACAGCGAACACGAAGCGGACGCAATGCGATGTTCAGTGAATTGGTGAGGAGAATGAAGAGTAGTATTGGGGTATCCGTCTAAACTGGCGCGCTTTTTTGGAATTCGAAATCGTTCGGGCTGCGAGGGGTTGGATCCTAGGTACTAGGTTAGATATTCCTCGAGACCTAGAGCCTAGCAATCGCGATTATATGACTTACGACAAATCCATTCAAGGAACAGAGGTGGATCACCTGTCTAGTTCACGCATGCGCCGGCGTAGTTTGGCACCTTATGCCGTGCGCAATGCCATTGCACCCAGAACTAGAGTCTCCAGCTGTTCTCTGCGCTCCGCTTCATCCTTGATGGCGTCGAGCCATGTGAGACCGTTCAACTTATAGTACTTGCGCACCTTGGCCCAATCTGTCGACGTCGAAATGGATTCGTCTGTAAACGGGGTCGGGGTACCCTGAAAGTTATCCTTGAGATGTTGCTCGACGTCTTGGGCAGAGGGCGGGCCGCTCGGGGAGGTGATCTTGACGACGATCACGTCCTTGGTCGACGGGCTGATACCATAGCGACGGTAGGCTTCTGCGATCTAATTACCAGTTAGTGCCTGACGACCAAAGTACCTGAAACCCAATTCTTGAATTGCAAGACAAGTCACCGTACGTTGTTGGCAGAGCTGAGGGATGCGACGAGTTCGGAATGGACGTTTGGGGTCTTGAGGCTGCCGTCAACCTTTGCGGTCACGGCCTTGAAGGCTGCAGCCAGGATATGGGTTCGGGAGACGGCCTGTTGAAGTTTGTGATCAGCAGTCAATTCCGGCGCCTACTGCTTAGTGCAGATGGGCTGTGTGCCATACCACGGAGGCATCGATCAATGCATACTCAAAGTCTGCGTTGCGGTCGAGCAGCTGTTGGTGCAAAAAGGCAGCATTCTCGATTTCCTTGAAGAAAGCGACGTGAACGACGTGATCGGCAGGCACGTGATCGATGGGTATGGTTTCAATGATGGAGGACGACATGTTTACTGCCAAGGTAGATGGAGACACAAAGACGTCAAGAATGAGATGGTACGACGGATGAGAACGGAGCTGTGAGTGCCGGGTTTGGGAAGCTGAAGTGTGGTCTGGTCGAAAAGTATCGCGGGGTAAAACTTGGGAAGACTGAATTTCAGTTGAAGTTTGTTATCGAGCGCACGATAAACTTGGAGGGGCACGGCGCAATGGCGGGGTTCCCTGCCATGACATGAGGTGACCACGTCAGAATTACGGGCAGCCAGCGCCTTAGCTGGGCCCACCTGCCCTACCTACCTATTGCTGAGGCATTGGCTGCAACTCAGGGCACCGCATTCTCACGATCCAAGGCCTTCCTCTTCATCCGATCATTCACTCACTCAGTCACTCTCTCTCACTCATGCCATGACTTGCTCGTTCATTCCCAGATACTCGCTGAGACACTCATTCAGTGATTTGTCCTCACTCAACCCTTGCCCCGAATATGTTCTTCATTCCTCCGTCAAATTGCATCTTCCCACCCCGCTTCGGCCATAGCTAGTGTCTTTTCCCTCTTAGCTTGCATTGCACGTGTAAGAGACTAACACGATCTCCCTTGAGGCTAAGAACCTTATTGAAGCCCTACTACCTGTTCTTGTTCTGTAGATATTAAGTTGTAGTTTGTTGTTCTTTTCATTATTCGATCCGGTAAAATTCCCCACGTCCTAGCAGCCTTATAAGTTAGAGTTTCCGCCCTAGTACGTCACCTAAGGTCTAGCATTTGCGCTTCTTTTATTCTCGGATTTCGGATGAGGTTTATTTTGCTGGGAAACTTGGACCCAAGATCTTCGACTCACTCGGTATATAATTTCGTTTTCGTTATTCTTGTCAAGCGCCAGGCAAAAGTGCACAAATGGGTACTTTATTCTTCAGCTATGACTGGTGTGCCTTGGAGAACAGCCGGAAGGGGCTCCGAATAGTCGTATCTGTTCGAGATCCAATCAGAGCTAAATTATCGACACGAATTTATCCATTCAATGTGAACAAAGTTGACTCTGAGTCACTTTGCATTGGTGAGCCACGTGAGAAGTCCAGACACGTTCTGGATTGAGCAGTATTGGCATATGATGAAGCAGAAATGCGTCACTTGGACAGCATTCTCATCTTCGACCCAACTTGTCGTCGTGTCTGCAACGGACATGTCAGTTGGCCCAACTCTTCGGACGCATCGACCTCTGGCATGGCCCTCATCATCCTCGGCAGCCCTGCTGTGACGCGGCACTCATGGGCTAGGTGAAGGCATGTTTCCGATGTTGATTGGGCTGCTCGTCTCCGCGATTCAGCCTTCAATAACAGGTCAACGATGACGATGTATACGCGCCATGTAAACGGTGACATCTGAGCTTGGGCAAAACTTTCATAGCCATAGACATCTGGTAGTGCTGTTCAAAGCCATCATCGAAGGGGAATATCTAAGAAGGCTTGACACTCTGTCTCTGGGCTGCATGTGCATGCTTTCATGAAGAGAGTGAGGGCAGTCGACTTACTCGAAGAAGAAATGTTGACTACGGTTCCATGTTCTCGGATTGACTTGCCGTAGGGCGTCTCGCTAATTAAGGCGTCTCATGTGGAACAAAGTAGACGTTGCCCGAATCCGGGACGGTACAGGTAGTTGTTTCCCTACATCTCCCAGCCATACCCGCGTGCCTTGTACCGTTACTTGGCTCTGATGAGTTCGCTCGGCGGCGTTGCCGCGTAGTCTACGAACGATGGAAGACTTGCCGCAAGCTGAGCATGGTTGGGCGGTACTTGGGCCGATACCTACGTTCGCAGGAAGGACACAAAGGAGGCTCGTGGGCTCCCTTTGAAGGATCCGGTCACGACAAGCCAAACTACGCTTTACAGTCTAGTGAGACATGGGCAGGACATCATGGGGCAGGGACAACGAGGCAGGCAGATGGAACCATGAACATATGGGTCTGCCGACCGTAAAGGAGGGTCGGTTGCAATCGTATCGAGCTGGTGGTAGGACAACAACGGACAGGCTGAGTCTGGACGGATAGTTTTGAGGGCTAGACTTTGAAATGTAATACATTCGTTCTCATTTTAGTATTAGTCTACGGCCTTGGCCCTGGCACTAGAACCTTGGAACACTGGGATCTCTCGTTCCCGTCCATTGTCGGCCGACGCCTCGATGCGCCACTTCATCGCTCATCGAATCTCATCGACTCGATTTTCTTTGGACCCAATCTTGAATCAAAGCGAACTTGAATTCGTACGCTTGGCCTGGCATGCTGAGAGATGCGCATCTTTCTTCCTGGTCTGCCTGTTTCACTCACTAGTAATTTCCTAAGGGCTCGGTGTTGAAAGTCGAATACCAAGTCCAGCATATCCTATTTCACATCTCATCACAATCATACCACTCTTACTCATGCCTTACAGACAACGAATGCCTGGTATCTGGATCGTTGGGTTACAGGCACTTGGTTCGAGAAAGACTTATTTACATCTTGCCGTTGAATCTTACGAGGATCCAGCACCACCACTCGTCCAATCTTACCAAGTCTCACTTCAGCCAGTGTCCAGACACCACACCTCTCACTCGTCTTACTTCCCTGTCTGAGCTACTGGAATGCGTTATCAGCCAGCCTGATTGGGAGTTTAGGTCTCATCAGGTAGATCTAGAGCACTGCTTCTAGACCGGCGCCGCGTGTCAAGCGTCAAGCTAATCAAGTGTCAAGCGTTCTTGGGATTGGCACGCACAGCTCTTGGTGAACGAACGGGTCAAGTGCGTCTCAGATCCTCAGTGAGTGAGGAGTTCAAGCTCAGTGAGGCAAGGTCCCTCACAGGCTCAATTACGGGTAGCTTGGTCTGGAACCCGCCCGCTGTACCGCCCTCCCGCATCCCGACAGGTCGGGAGCACCTCACCCCCAGTGCCGCAGTGCGTTTGCGTTTGCGTTTGCCATCAGCTCCCGCGCCCCCAGTTGCGTAGGTACCTTACATTACTGGCCCCTGGCACTGGATGCTTTTCCCCGGCTCTCCTTCCGGCACGCACCTCAGCAGCGCACAGGTCTCCTAAAAACGCGGCAACCTCCACCATCCACGGCAATCCCCGTCGCGACTTTCTTCCCGTCCCGCGCGTCGCCAGTGACACTTTATTCTTCGCTTCAATTTGCGCCAATTTCGAATTACAATTTGCTATCGAAAGAGAGGAGGAAGACGAAGACGAAGAGGGAGAGAAAACAATAGACCATGCCGGGTCGCCCACCCAAGCGACCGGCAGAAGCTGGCGATGCAGCTACTCCCTCTGAAGATGTCGCCTCCACCACACCCGCGCCCAAGGTGAAGCTGCCGAGACTCGACAAGGGCGGCCAGGAAGACTTCTCCTCTGTTGTCAAGAATCGCCTGTCGTCGTACACTCGGACAGGTCAGGCCTGCGACAGATGCAAGGTACGTCTTGACTGTTCCTCTTGAGTTCATACCGAGCTCTTCACGATACTACATAGCCCCATTATCACATTCCCGCTCGCATCTTTAGCCTCCCCGTACTAACCCTCGTGACAATAACTCTTAGGTCAGAAAGATTCGATGCGATGCCCTCCCCGAAGGATGCTCCCATTGCATCAGTCAGAATCTCGACTGTTTCGTCACCGATCGCGTCACCGGCCGAACCGAAAGAAGAGGCTACCTTCAAGAGCTCGAAAGGGAAAAGACCGACATGATGAACCACATCCGCGAACTCGAAAAGCTGCTTGAGAACAACGGCACCGAGGTCAAACCGTACCAATGGTCTCCGTACGCCATAAACTACCCGGCTCCTGGCGCAACCTATGACCACATGGGCAATGCCATCGAAGACCCCAACGAGAAGGATGCCTGGACCAAGGTCGGTTCCGTCTGGGTCAAGAACTACAACTACAAACCCGCCGGTGGTCGCTCATTCCCTCGATCGACGCTCGAATCACGTCCCGTCCATAATCATCTGGGCGTGGGCTCTGACAGTGCACCCCTTAGCTCAATCAAGGGCACTCAGCTGTCCATTCTGGGAACGACAATCGACGTCACCTCGTTCGATGCCCCCGACATTGACGAGCCCGTCCCAGACGCCAAGGATGCGCAGCCTCTGTATAACAAGTCCCTACAATCGTTCCTGCAGTCCAGTATGAACGTCAATCCTACAGTCAACATCGAGCTTCCTTCAAGGAGCGACGCCTTCACTTACTCTGAATGGTACTTTCTCATGATTTGGCCTTTTCTGCCAGTCCTGCACAAGCCTAGCTTCATGAACATCGTAAGTAGGCCTATGCCGATTCCAGTCTGTCGGCTCTGACCATCTACAGCTCACTCGTATGTACGACGAATCCGGCTACGAAGCAAGTGTGCCTGACCAGGTCATGGTACACATGGTTTTTGCCACCATTTACTTCCAATACGGCGTGCGAAACTGGGAACAGCAGGAAACACGATCCCAACTCAACGAACTGTCGAACAAGCATTATCACTATGCTTTGAGCAAAATGTTTGACTTGGCATCCTCGCAATCAGTGGCAGCGGTGCAGGCCATGGCGATGATCTGCGCTCACAGTCGTAGCTTCCCCAAGCCAGGGTGCGGCTCCATGGTCACCAACTTTGCCTTCCATCGCGCTATCGACCTGAACATGCACCGCGCCATGAAGGGACCAGGCGAGACGACGAATCTTGAGAACGAGATCCGTAAGCGCACTTGGTGGACCATCCTTCTCGTCTATGTCACTCTGAACGGGCGCCTTGGGCGGCCAATGCCTATCACGGTTGAGGAGTACGATGTCGAGTTTCCCGAGCCGATCGCCGACGAGGCCCTGACGCCAGACGGCGTCGATCCGTCGGTAACGACGCCTTGTACGTATCACGTTGGGCTGGCAGGCTTCAAGATCTTGCCATTATTCATGGAGATGTACTCCAACATCTACAGTGTCAAGCGCGACCCTAAGAGTTACGTTGATGTCGTCAACTCTCTAGAAGAACAGCTTCGTCTCTGGAAGGAAAACCTCCCCGAATCGCTCCAAATCAACCCAGGGCAAAATGAACATGAAGGCCGTATGTATGCCCTGTACATACAGATGTACGCCCTTGAGCTTCGATTGTGTCTACGCCATCCATCCGTGGCCATGACTACCGATCGCAAGTTTCTCCTCGAAAATGCCCGCATATGCGAAGAGACTGCTGCGCATATGCTCAATGCCGTCAAGAGCCTCGTGAAGCTCAAGTCTCTGGATACCACGTGGTACCAAATGGCAGTTTACGGTGCCGCCATTTTCACCACATTGGTCGCCCACTGGGAACGGAGGTTCGAGGCAACGCCTAATCAGATTGCAACCCTTCGAGAGGAGATGAAGGATTGGATGGAGATCATCAATGCGACTGTCTCCTTACTGGGTAAATCCTACTTCTGAATCTATCAATCGGAACTTGGAGACTAACCGTTCATATCTAGGAACTGGCGCACGTATCAGTAACGAAATCAGTGTCATTATTGAAAGGACAATCAGCTGGATTGAACACGACCAAAAACAAAAAGATTCGTCGTCACTTCCCCCAGCGATCAAGACCGAACCATCAACGGCAGAGGCGTCACCATTTCAACTTACGTCCCAGCCTCAAGCAGCGCAGGCCTTGGCTGCAAGTGCCGACGAAGCGGCTACAAAAGCATTCTACTCCGACGCGGAGAATCAGAATGGGACAACTCCGTACCCTTCTCTAGCTTACACCGAGCAGCCACCAAGCACCAACACCATGGCATCGACAAGTAATTTCGAGGTAAACAATGGATACGCGTATACGCCTGCGGCTACGCAGCCCACGAACGGGGAGGACAACACGGCTGAGACCAACCCACTGATTGCGTTCGCATCCCAAGCCACTCAGCATGTTGCAGACCCGGCCGGCTCTGCGGCTGCGGCGGAGCTCCTCTGGAGACAATCAGCATCACAAGGGAATACCTGGCAGGACTGGACAGCAGCAATGGCAGACAGCCAAGATAGATACAGCGCTAATGCCCTGTTGACCCTGGGCGGCGGGTCTAGGGATCCCACTTCTGTTACGGAGGCGGCGACAGCGGCCGATATGGCTGCTGTCACAGCCCCCGTCGGCCAATGGCCGCTCATCATCTTTGACGGAGCGGGGGCCCCAGGAGGACAGTAGACAGAGGTTTGGTTTTGATACACTTTCGAGCGTGTTCTGATATGTTTCTCTCGTTCATATGTTATCACGGAGCTACTTTAGGCGTCTACGCGGGGTCTCTTTCCAGACCAGACAACATGCTGCGGCTCAGCAAAGGGGGTAAAAGGATAGGGGACTATGGGCACGAGTCGAATGGTTCGACTTGGTATTTTGGGGTAATCCAAATGACCCCGATGGGTTTCGGCGTTTCATGGTCAATTTCACCAGCGATCGTTGCATGATGTAAACCCAGCAATACCCGGCTGCAAGCAAACAATGGGCAGCGTTTTATAGGCGTAATTTCAATAGTCCTATCTCCCTCAAGGCTTCATGCGGTTCTGCAAAGGTATGCGAACTATACAGTCGCTTTTAAGCAATAGTTCAAGCCGAAGCTTCTTCGCGGCGATGAAACCTACTACGTACTTTGAGAGTAAAGGCCGATCGGGTCTAGGGGAAGCAGGGCAGAACCTGAGACTTGTATGGTACCTCGCGAACGTCGAGGGCGATCGCTCGCAGCCTAGGGCTTGTAAGGCTTGGCAGTGGGTTTTCACTTGGCGAGTAAGCATTATGGAGAATTCAAAACCTTATTGAGTTATGATCATAGACCTTTGCCGTGCGTGGTTTTGGTCTCAAAAGATTGGTATCAAATGGCGCAACTAGGTGCTTAGGGGCTACTTCCCACTACGCATTCCAACCCCGTTCTAAATCTCATCTAAGATCAAACCCGCTTACAGCTTTCCGTCATTTGACATTATAGCGTCTCCTCACAAATCCTAGCATCATGTCTCCTTCCGAACATAATCCGCCTAGGCTGACTCCTTGCGGACGTGGGCGTGGGCGGGGTTGGTAGACTCAACCTGAATCTCGGCGGGAGAGCCCTTGGTCTCGCTCAAGTTGTCGTGGTTCAACTTCTTGTCAGAGTCATAATCGGTGACACCGAACAGAGCATCCATATGCTCCAGGGAGATACCCTTGGTCTCGGGGACGAAGAACCAGACGAAGAAGAACATGGAGAAGCAGAAGCTTCCAAAGATGAGATAGGTTCTGTCACAAACATTAGTTGAATGTTAATTTGAAGGAAGGTCCAAGCAGAAAATCACTTACCCGTAGCCGTGAGCACCGACAGTAGCCAGCATGTTCGGGACAGTACGGGCGACAATGAGGTTGAAGAGCCACTGGGTAGCAGCAGCAAGAGCGACATTCTGGGAGCGAAGGCGAGCTGCCGGGATCTCAGAGGCGTAAATCCAGCAGGCCGGACCCCAACCAAACTGGAAGAATGCGGCGAACAGGAAGATGGCGACCAGAGCCATGTAACCAGCACCAGGTACAGGCTCTCCGGCAATGGGCGGGGAGATGCGGACGTAAAGGCCGATGTAGAACATGCAGCAGCCTTGGGCGATTGAAGTCCAGAGAAGCGAGCGACGACGGCCAAGAGAGTCGGCCATGAAGAGCAAGAAGCAGATGCAGGCAAGAACCTTGACGATTCCGTAGACACCGGTTGACAGGAGAGGCGTGGACCGACCGCTGACACCGAGGTTCTTGAAGATCGTAGGGGCGTAGGTGTTGATTGCGTTGGTTCCCGTCATTTGCTGGCAGATCATGAGGAAGATGGAGATGAGAGCATGGTTGCGGTTGCCCTTGATGGTCCACATCTCCTTTTGCAGGTTCTTGAAGGTGGCGTTGCCAATGAGCTGTCTTTCTTGTTGGAGCTGGTCAACAATCTCCTGGAACTCGTCTTCAAGGTAGGGGTGGTTCTCGGGCAAGTTACGAAGAGTGGAGAGAATCTTCTTGGCCTCTTCCCACTTGTCCTGGCGAGCCAGCCATCTGGGAGATTCGTTGCAGAAGAGCATGCAGATGAGAAGCATCAGACTGGGCAGACCCTGGATGGCGAGAGGAAAGATGTACATGGTCTTTCCCGTCAGGTTGACCTCGGCGCCGTAGTTGATCCAGAAGGCAATCATGCCTCCTGTCACGATGAATAGTTGGTACATGCCAGTGAGGAGACCGCGAATGGCACGAGGCGCGTTTTCGGAGACGTAGAGAGGGTTGATGGCAGAGGCACCGCCGACACCGAGACCTGCGATGAAGCGACCGACGAAGATGGCAGCGATTCTACCGGAAGAGACAGCCTGGAGGACAACGCCGACGAGGATGATGGCAGCGACAGTAACGAGACACCACTTGCGACCGAATCTGTCTGTCATGGGGGAGGCGAGAAGAGCACCGACCAAGCATCCGGCTTGGAGAGTAGACACAATGTTACCGGTCAAGTTGGCAGTTTCCACGGGCTTGGCATCCTTGAGTCCGTAGTCGCTATGGGTGGATAAGTCAGTTTATTGGTACTTGATGATGATATATGCTCTCCAAGCCGACACTTACTTCTTAAAGGGCTCCATTACAACGACACCACCAATAACGGAGCTATCCCAACCGAATGACATGGCGCCGAAGCAGGCGGAGGCGGCGAGCGCGAAGACTCTCCAGCCGTAAATTTCTGCGGGGTCCGTCTCCATGGACTCATTGTGGACGATCTTCTTGAGAATCTTTTGCATCGCCGTCATGTTGGGCGGTTGGTGTTGCTATCGCAGTTGAATGACTGGTGGCCGATGTGACACGACACCCTGTGATGGTTGGATCTCGAGCCAAGGTGAGTCAGCTCAAGATGTGATGAGGGGTGGGTGATGGGTTGAGGACTGGATGAGGAGACGAAGCGACGAAGAGAAGAAAGCGAAGATTCGAGGGTGTGGGCAGCCGGCCCTGATATATCGGAAATCTCTAATGGTGTTTTCCCTCTTTTGCTGATCAGGACCCTCGTCTTTTTCCCCAGATGGGTGGAAACCCGGGGACCCCTCACTGTCAGAATAGTCAGCAATTTGCCATCTCACATGTAGCAAAGAGTAACCTGGGGAAAAGGGGATTGGAGGTGCTGGTGAGGAGTAACTGTTCAGAGAGCCATGGTCGCAATCGATCCTGTGCGTCTCCCAGCCCGTCCAGAACCCAAAGAACCCCTGCTGCAATCCTATCTTGTCTAGTGTAGCTCGTTCGTCCGCTCATCTGTGCCTCTAAACCCCAGAAAACCGAGCCTCAACGAGTACCAAGACGGACGGTGAATTGTCCATGAGATTTTTCCGCCATTCAGAAGGGACGGAGAGGACAGCCCGATGGTGCTGGACCGACGGGGGCGGCAGAGGAACGTCTTGGCTCTTGGGAGAGGGGGACCTATTCGGTTTTGCGATCAGCCGACCAGGTCGTGCAATTGGAGGCTTCCGGCAAAGGGTGGGATACGGCAAGCATCTTAGGGGGTGTGTAGTAACTGTGGTGGTTGTGGTGGTGGAGGTCGACCGTCGAGGTGGCCGGATGGGATGCAGCAACAAGCATGGCATGGCTGGGCTAGTCTCAGAAACTAGGCTTGGCAGGCTAAAGGCAGAACGGATGGCACTCTACTCCGTGGTCGAATGGACGACAGGAACGACGCTCGAGTATACGAGGGTGCGAACCCAGGGGAGACCAACATCGCAGCCGTACACTAGAAGGACCTTGGTGAAAGATGGAAGCATCCACGTGCGCATCCTACCTACTTTTCGGATACGTGATGGCCTTGAGCTCGTCGCGGTCGGTAGTCTGATAGTATGGTTCTCACGGTTCATCTATACAAACCATGAACTTGATAAGGGAGCTGTGGGGAAGCTTGAATGCGGTGTGAAGGTAATGAGATGAAAAGATGGATAACCTTGTCTCCTAGGTTAGCTCCCATATGCCTTGAAATGCTTCATCATGGCAATGAAAGAAACAAAACGCCTGCTGGCTGCAGACCAGGGGCGTATGCTAACAGTTCAAGCTTGATAGTAATAGACGTGGCTCTCTGGGGCCCCAGAGGAGAGTCCCGTCCTTCCCCAGGTGCCCCAGGATACGGAGTACGCACAGCGGAGCAAGAATAAAGTATCCGTATGCTTGCTAGGACGAACGGCTCTCCGAACTGTGGCTATTCTGGTTATGGTTTCCGTCGCCGAAATGTGGACCGCTCCTTGCAGCGAGCAAGGCGCGTGATTTGCTGGAAGATGCGTCTCTGGTTGTCTCCCCCATCACAGTATTTAGGCTACTGGCGAAGGTGGAGAAAGAGGGACGAGGCAAAAAGGCAAAGAAATAAGAGCGTGGGCCGTAGAGTTAGACTGCCATGAATGGCTGTACAAATCGAGTGTAGACCAGGGAGCAGACATTTAGTGCGCTGGACTTGGTTTAGTCTCTTCTTCACTGCGTATGCGTTGACAGGGAAGTCCGGGCATGGGACGATGTATCCATACAGGGTTACAGGAACACAAACACAAAGAGCCAAAGAGTCTCTGACAACCAGTGACAGGTGAAGTAGGCATCTTTGATAAATAGGTACTCCATAGAGCCTACTTGGTTCCGGCGCCTCCCACACCTTTCATCCCACGTCCCGGACTGGTTTCTGCTCCATCCAATAGCCCATTTGTCGACCCATCCCCGTACGGTGGATTCTGCGGAGTAAGGGCGCGGGTAGGAGAAATGGGGTTGGAGAGGTGGAGATGTGTTGGAGATCGCGGGGGTGGTCAAGAGGAGCCTGAGGAGGTGGGTGAAGTGGCACAGACAGACTTGACCTTGTGGGCGAACACAACGTCAGCAAGTCAACAAGCAACAAGCAACATTTTGACTTTGTCAAGAGACGAAGAATGACTTTATCAAAGTAGATCGCGCCTCTCAGTTGACGCTTGACCATAGCTAGACTAAGCTCGTCCGTAGATGTCTTCATTCAGCGAAGGCACAGTCTAGACTCTTGTTGGGCTTCTGTCTCATTTGTTGTCTGAGCTCAGACTCGATCTGGCACTTTTTTGATGACCTTAATGACTATTCCAGCCAAGGTAAGATAGATCGTGATTCGACCAACCACCCGCCAAACACGATTTGAGTCTGGGGTTCCAACGGCCATTCCCATCTTTCGCGACACCACCCCGACTTCGTGGCGTTGGATCCTAAGGCTTGGCAACAAGCCATGAAGCTCATTCATTTGACGGAAAAATTAATCCGCGTTTCTGACCTGAAGGACCGGATCTTTCTAGTCTGATTCTGCCAACACTCTATTTTTGAAGTTTTCCAATCTTTCTCTGGTACGTACGTTGACTTGCTCTCGTATTTGATAGTTGGTCCAACTTAATATTCGTCACCAAGTGTACATGTAGCTGTAGATATTCCAGATATGTTCAAGACACCACACGCTAAGTGAGCCACTCCGGTCGCCTTCGGCCAACATCATGCGATGCCACATACCAATCCCTCCCCTTATGTCTGTCTGGTTCCGGATCCGAGTCCTCGGGCCCTGCTAGACCTGTCATGCCCTGCACTGCTTCTGTTGGCGCCTCCTTTGCAGCTGTAGCTATCCATGAACCAATAGTCCGGCATGTGCCGTACCATCGCAGGCCAGGGCTATGGGACTCGGGAGTGCATCCTTCACGGCTGCCTCGTGGCCTTCAGACATGATTAGAGTTCCCCAAGTGGACTGTGAAGTTATTCTAGTCCATGAACTATCGGAATTCTTTTGATCTGGTACTAAAATTTCGACTCAATGTCGGCGCGTCGCTGTATCGTCATCGCGAACGATTCTCGTATAGAGACAGGACGGAAAAATTTCGTCCTCCAAGACCCGACGTTGAAAACATATGCAAGCCACTCCATGAGCCTCTTCGTTTCTCCTTTCACTCCCGTTCCCTCGATCGTGCCACGCCAAGCCCGCGCATTCCTGTGCCACCTCTCACATCCAACGCCAAGATAATCCAGCTCGAACCAAGCCCCCCGCTTTTGCTTGTCCCTGACCTGCCTGCGCTGACGAGCCGGGATGTCACTCAACGAGGTGCATCGTCTTCAAGCCCCTGTGGTCACTGTATTGGGTCGGGACCCGGCTCACCGCACATGCGTTCTCAACGGGAACGCGTTCCAGCAAGACGCCATCATCTCCTTCAAGGGTTGGCAATATGCTGTGTTCTACAGTAGCTGCTCTTCCTCAGGTCTAGGTGATGACACTCAGCGAGAACCTCTCTTCGTCTGCATGAGTCGGCGTAAACTACCCAACTCTGAGTGGCAAACGATAGTTTTCGACGATTATGACCAGACCACTGATGATGGCCACAATACCGTGCAGATGGGCATCTGTCCAGGCGATGGTACCATCCACCTATCTTACGACCATCATTGTGACACGTAAGGTTGCTTCTCATTCTCATTGAATGCGACAGCTTTAAGCTGCAAAACCATTAGGGAAGGACAACCGTCGCTGACAGATTCCCAAAAGCTTGAGGTATCGGCGCTCCATCAAAGGCATTGCCAGTGATCCAGAACTGTCCCGATGGACCAAAGACGTATTCACTTCGACTCTCGATTACATTCCTGGCATTACACAACCTCATGAGAACTTCGGCTACGTGACCTACCCGCGATTTGGTGTCTTGGGCGACGATATGTTCTTCTCCATAAGGAATGGCAAAGCTGGTCTTGGAGATGATCTACTGTACATATACCATGCCGCAACAGGATTGTATGAGTATGCTGGAAAACACCTCAAAGGCATCCAGAATAACCCATACGTTCATGGCATGGATCACCGTGATGGTAAGCTACACATCACATGGGTGTATCGCGGTTTCGTACACTATGACGGATGGGATGATCCTCTAGATATGAAACACAAGCAACAAGCCGGACCCAATGGCGCCGATAATAACTATAACATCTGTTATGTTTATAGCGACGACGGGGGTTACACATGGAAGAACGGGCACGACAAGACCATTGCTTCGTTGAGAGATGGAGGCTCGATTACACCTGATTGTCCTGGTCTTGTTGCCTTTGATATTCCTAAGGGGCGAGGTTTGACAAACCAAGAGGCACAGGCAGTCGATCAGGACGGCGGGGTGCATGTTCTCAACCGCGACACGATGGATGCAGAGAATCTATGGAAGCATTACTATCGATCTCCCAATGGCAAGATGACGACACCCAGCTTTTGTTTTTACAGATTTCATCGTTCAAAGAGATTTCAGCTAACGAGTATTCTTGAGCAGGAAGATGGACTCAACATGCCATCGGGCCAGTACCTAGTCCTCGACGCGGCCGCCTAGCCATCAGCAAAACCGGTGACCTCTTCCTGATTCTACCCGACCCTACCAACTCATCTCTCCGTATCCTCAAGTCATCAAAAGCAAAAGACTACGCTGAGTCAGTAGAGGTCTGGCGTGGTGTTGGCTTCATGGGCGAGCCGCTCGTGGATAGCAAAAGACTCGAGGAGGAAGATGTTTTGTCCATCTTCGTCATTATCGTGTCGGCGACCTCATCGAAAGACCGCCGAGTTGCCGTTCTTGACTTCCAGATCTAGAGCTGATGTACGGTGAAGGAGAATCAGATGAAGTTGGTTCGTTGCCGGGATGGTGAGAGACGCGCATCGAGGAAACGCAATGGCCTAGGTCTGGGTGGTGAGCCACAGGTTGTTGCACATCACCTTCTCGGAAATTTCGCGGCAGATGCCATCTCATTACTTTAAAGGGGCGGAGGCGCAGACGAAGACGGCGGGAGACCGTCGGACGATTACGGGGCCTTTGGCCATAGTCAATCCAACCTCGGAGTGCCGAAGTTCCATCTCCGGCGTCCAACACAACATTAGATACTGTAGATGAAATAGAGCTCTCCAGTGATCATCATACAGTGGATTTTTGACCCTCATTTCAGAGTTGTGCCAAGAGTCATCGCAAAAACTTAGTATGTCGCATTTCGCCCCCAAGTCCCCATCTCATTGGAGGACTTTAATCCTCGAAAAGACGAGAGACATGGCTCTGATTGTGATGAAGCTCGTCCTGTTGGGATGATCAAAGGGATGAGAAAAAGCCGTTCCCGCGCAGAGTTTCGCCCACTGCGAAATCATTCCTCCTCGCCAGGCTCACCAACTGACCTATCTCCCCTGGTTCGTTTCTCTTGGCACGACAGCCTTGCTCCAAACCCATCCGCCGATGCCAATCATTTCTCCTGCTTCTCATCAGCCACCATCTGCACCTCGGTTTCTTGAGCCCGAGAAGAGACGGTGTTCTTCCACTCCCACATTCCTTGTCCTGGTTCTTTGCCCAGCGCCCAGAGCAACGAAGCGCGCCGGATGCCCGCGCCGCTCTGGGCAGATTCTAGGGCCTGCGTGGGAGAGATGCTAGGACCTTGGCATAAACCAGATGGCTTGCCGCATGCCAAGGAACCTTTCATATGTTAACATGGTTTGTATTGGAGGAATGAAATTTCACATGGGAGAGTGTGGCCGGAAGTGGGTGCGAGTGAGAGGTGAGTAGAGCTGCAATTGTGGAGGACAATTCACAATTGCATTTTAGCGGTCCAAACACGGCGCGTCTTAGATGAAGACTCAACTCTTGGCACTTCGGAAAAAGGCTCAGTAAGAAGCGATACTAATCCTTAAGCGAATCGCTCATACGGAAAAGGGTATTGTCGACGATGCACACGGAAAAAGGGTGGGACAGGTCTAATCGTCATTCAAATGCTGAGTCTTATTATTCAATATAGACAATGCAACTATATTCCCGTCATCATCGCTCATAAATGTCCGCCAATATGCTACGAATAAGAATTATGTATAAGAAGTAGTGACCAAGTCGTCACATGGATTGTCCTGATGAACAATCAACAAACAACCCTCAGTTCTCTTTCCCTTGTCCAGTCCTCAAATCCAGATAACCCGGGCTTCATGTTTGCTGAATCGTCCATCTCTCTCTTCTATGACTGATGCTCAGAAGCTGCGCTCTCTAAGCATTTAGAGGGTCTTGGAGGCCCAGCCAAGCTGCTTGGTGCTGCCGTTGAAGACAACGAAGGCAGCCTTGAGGGCAATGTCACCGTAGATGGAGATGCCAATGCCGGCGTTGCTCTGAAGGCCACCGAAGCAGGTGGAGGTGCTGATGGGAGCGTAGTTCATGTAGCTGGCGGGGATGGTGATGCGAGCGGTGCCGACGCCGAAGGTGAAGGAGGGGACGGTAGCGGAGCAGGGGAAAGTGTAACCACCCTGGGAAGAGTCGTACTTGGCACCGGTAATCTTGGCGTAGTAGGCGGTGACGATGGCCTGGGGAAGGAGGAGAAGGGTGGTGCCGGTGTCAGCAATACCGGTGACGGAGCTGGAGACGAAGCTGGCGGAGCCGACCTGGTAGCCGGAGGAGGTGAACTGCCACCATCCGTTGGCGGAGTTGACGGAGGTGTAGGTGATGGAACCAGTGTAGGCGGTGCTGTCAATGTAACCGAAGTTGTACTTGCCGGCTATAAGTTCAATGTGTCAGTATCAATTGTCCCATCTCCTGATACCATATCTAGCGAGAATTTAAGAGAGGACTTACCGGTGCCGTGCTTCAGGTCAGCAGTGAAGAGGAAAGAGTCCAACTTAGACTTGGCAGTGTCGAAGAAGGTGGTCTGCTGGGTGGGCGAGACGGTGTTGATGTTGCTGAAGCCGAGACCAAGGAGGCCGTCCAGGTCGCTCTCAGAGGTGAAGGAGTCCGAGACGGTGGAGGCAGCCTCGACGGCCTGGCCGGTGACGGTCAGACCACCGACGGTGACGGTGTCCTTGTAGACGATACCGCTGGAGCTGGAGCCATCGCCGTAGGAGATGGACCAGGTGGCGCCGGAGAGGCGGGAGGCGGTGGAAGACTTGGAGGGGTCGTAGACGGTCTGGCCGTTGCGCTGGCTGGCCGGGGTGGAGGTCGAGAAGACCCACAGGTCGGAGGAGCCGGTGTCGAAGTCGAGGTTGAGGGTCTGGGCCGGGGTGCCGATCTGGACGGGGCTCAGGTACTCAACATCGTACTCCTGGGGGTTGGCGGCGACGCTGCCAGTGGCACGCTCGACGAGGCCGGCAGAGCTGATGTTGGCGACAACGGCAGCGAGGTCGGCGGGGAGAGCGGCCTTGTACTTGCGGTAGGCCTTGGCGAGGGCGAGGGGACCGGAGCGGACGTAGCGGGGGTTCTTGATCTGCTCGACGGTGAAGCCTCTCTCCTGCTGGGCACCAGCGGGGAGGGCGGCGACGGAGGAGGCCAGGGCAAGGCCGGCCGTGAGGGCCGAGACGAAGGATGAGCCAGTCATTGTGAGATGACTGAAAGCTAGTGAAGCCGGGGAAAGGAGCAGAGAAGAGGATATGAGGACCGAGGAGGAGGACTGGGAGATGACCGATGAGGATGAGGAGGAGAGATGGGATGATCAACGGGGAGTTGAGATGGTTTATATCGTCATCGTCCAGTCTATCAAGATGGTGTCTGGACTCTATGACCGGGGACGGCAAGTCGGGGCGATAGGATGGATCATGGCGACATTACTCGCAGTCCTTGCCAACATCACGGGCTCTGGAGATGTCAAGGCCAACAATAACAGGCAGGGGGGGAGTTCGTGAAGGAGGGCCATCATGGTGTGCGGCACAAGCTAGCCGTGGGGGAATACCACCTTCCAAGAGGGAGCATCGTGCAATAGCAAGGCTGCCTGTCGCGACTCCATATCGCGCCGACAAGGACGATGGTACTGCGCATCGTGATTCGAGAGAACAGAGGGGCTAGATTTGATGAGAAGGGACGGTAGTCGGTAGTGTGTAGATCACCAAGGAGGAACAACAAGCAGTTGACTACTTGCGGCAGCCATCAACGGGCAGGCTAGTCTCGAACAGGGGACTGATAGACTCTAGTGTCTAGAGCTCTTCAACTAAGGTCGTAGCTCCATCTGTCTCTCCGCCATGGAGCTCATGGAATGGTGGAAGATGGAACCCATCCCAAGGACCAGCCTATTCCTGGCCAGGGGGTGGGAAGGGTTATGGGAACTTTTGACCAAAGCTTGTCACTGGCACAAAGTTCCTAGCAGCTGTAGACTAGATGGAAAAGAGCAGGTCGGGAGAAAGGGTCGAACGAGTCGAGGGCTTGTATGTCGAATGTTGACGCGCCGCCGTCCTCGGCTCTTGGATCCAAGGCGGGAAGTTGAGATGAGTGAAAAGGGGAATAAGGCCAAGGAAACAAGCAGCAAGGCACCAAAAGTAGATGATATGAATGGAGCCGAGCTGATGGAGGGGGGGGTCCGCGGCGGGGAGAGGAGCACCGGCGGAGGGCGGGACCAACCAATCCAAAGGCGAAACGAGGTACTCTCGTCTAAAGCGATCTGATTCTGGTGTCCATCACTCCATGATCCATCCACCCTCGCGATAGCCCCGGTGCCGGTCCTGAGTGGTGCCGTGTGGTAGAGTGGTCCCTCGTTCTCGAGTCGACGTTGAAAGCACCTACCTTTCCGGGACATGGCTCCGGGAGTCAGCCAGGCCACATTACGGTCCAAGTCCGCTGGGGCTCCGGGAAAGGTCGAGGGTTTGGCTGGTACGTCGAGACAGCAAGCAGGCGAACCCATGCTTTGCGGCGGCGTGGTGGTGGTGTTCTGACGGCGAACCTACGACCATCCCGTCTCTTCCATTGGTCTTCTTGGCTCTTGATGCGCCTCGGCACATGGAAACAAGCTTTACCGCCAAGTCCCCACCCGCAATCCCGCATGCGCGCCCAGAGGTTGGCGATTGCGACCTTGCGAACCCTTCGATTGCTCGATCCCCTGGGGGTATTGCTTCATTCCATGCCTGCCCAGAAAATGCCCAGTCTGGGGCCGCAGCAGGTACGAGATCGAGGCCAAGACGGGAAGGAAGACAAGAGAGTTTTCTAGGTTTCTGGGGGGGAAGAATCCCAAGGGGGGAGGTGGAGGAGAAAGAGGGACATGAAGGCTGAAGCGAAGGGGAACAGACAGGACAAGGGGGGAGGGTTGAAGGGGGGATCACGCCGCTTGCCGCCGCAACTCCATTGTCTCTTTGCATATTCTCTGTGTCAACGCGGGATCCAGCTGAGCGGGTTTCGGCTGTTTGCTGCCATCTTGGCGATGTTTCTTGGCGATGCTGCCCTGTGGCCCCAACTGCTACCTTGCCTTGCCAACCAAGCGATGAGGGAATGAAGGTGAGTTTTGTGATTTGTGAGTGAAATCACCCGACTTTGCAAGTGAATGAGACTGAGAAAGGTGTTGACTTGTCATGACGTGCTGCGGCTATTCCGGCCTGGACCCTGTTCCCGTTGCATTCAACTTCTCGATAGAGACTGGGACCTCGCGGATTTGGCGACTCAGCAGGCGGACTGGGGTTACCTTTGCAAAAGTTCGCGCGTATTGATTTTGGGGTCGACTGAACTATCCGTTTTCCAGCTTGTTTCTTAATTGCGCCCGTGAAACTTTTGGGAGCATCTCTTCTCACATTCCTCATTTGATCTATGTCTCCGAGCACTTTGTCGTCATCGCCATCGATGAGGCAAGAGAGGGGCTCAGTCGTTCAAATGAGCTGAAGATAGC